GGCCTCAGCTGGGAGGATGGACAGATCTGAGGGCAGACCTGGGACTCCTGAGGCCTGGACCCAGCCCCCAGGACCCCCGAGGCCTAGACCCAGCTCCCAGGCCTCAGCTGGAGGGATGGACAGAGCTGTGGGCAGCACCCAGGACCCCCGAGGCCTGGACCCAGACCCCAGGCCTCAGCTGGGGGGATGGATAGAGCTGTGGGCCCAGTACCCAGGACCCCCGAGGCCTGGACCCAGCCTCCAGGCCTCAGTTGGGGAGATGGACAGAGCTGTGGGCAGCACCCAGGACCCCTGAGGCCTGGACCCAGCCCCAAGCCTGCTGTACATTAGGCCCTTGGTGTCTGTTCTAGGGTGTCCCCCTCCCAGGAGACACTGTGGTAGATGTGAAGTGACCATAAGGGCCCACCTCTGCAGGCTGTGCAGAAGGCTCTAGGGGAGCAGGGGACGTCACCAGGCTCGGATGCCAGCTGGGCATCAGCTTTTGGAAGACAGCACGGGTGGACACTGGGGAGGGTTGAGTGGACACAGCCAGGCCTGGGGAGTCCAGGTTGCCTGTGGCCGGCTCAGGCCTGGGCGAGGGGAGGAACTCCTGGGATCTGTGCTGGTGACCAGTGTGCTCAGAAGGAATTCAGCTGGGCTGGAGGAGGGAATGGAGGACACCCCAGCCTCCTGAGCCAATCCAATGGTCAGCACTGTCAGGCTCTGGGGGTCATGGAGGTCTTGGGGTTCACTGAGGGAGACACAGGGGGCATAGGCAGCCAGGGCAGGGGCCAGACCGGAGTTGGGCAGGGAGAACACAGGAGCACGGGGAGGGGCTCTGGTGTGCTCAGCTTCCTGGTTGGCAAAAGTGCCCATGGACACAAGTGGGGACCTGTCACACAGACACTTCTGTAAATGGGGGACCCAATGGAAAAACTAAGACAGATGCATGGACCAGGAGACCAACCAATAATAGTGAGGAGTGCGGGACAGGGGGAGATGAGGAGAGGAGGAAATTCCAGAGACAACAAAAAGAACAGGCCAGGACTCCCTTGGGACTCCGGCTCTGGTCCCCTGCTCCTCAGAGAATGCTGTCTCTGTTTCTGTCACTTTGCCCTGAGCCTGCTGCTTGCCTGCTGTCCCTGCGTTCTGCTCTTCACTCCTCTGAACGGAGACTTCAAACCCAGCACCCCTGGACGGTAGTCACAGGACACCCCAGAAGGCCTGGGCAGGTGGCTGAGAGGATGTAGGTCCTGTGCCCAATGCCCTTCCTGCCTCTCGGCCCCACCGGCCCTGCTCCCATGGGGGCCAGAGGGAGGAGGGAGGAGGAGCCCCAGCTGGGCTGAGGCTGCCTGGCCTCTGGTGGACGGACCCCGTGCCTTCCCCATGGTCCTGCAATGAGGATCCATCTTGGGTCTGCTTCCCGGGAACTCTGATCAGAGTCCTGGCCTCTGTGGGGCTGGACACCTGGACCCAGGCGTGGATTTGGGAGACAGAGGGCCTCCCATGGTCCCAGCAGGCTCCACTCCTCCCGAAGGACATGGCAGACGTTTCAGGTGAAGGCAACTCCGTGTGCCCACACCCTGGGGCTGTGGTTAGGGGTGTTTATGTAACACGCCCCCCAGGGAGGCTTTCGGCAAGAGGGCAGAGTGACGGCTACACATTCCACACAGAAGCCAGCTGTGTGCCCTCAGCAAGCCCCTTGGCCGAGCCTCAGTGTCCTCCACAGCAAGCAGGCTGTTAGGACGGCCTTGTGCACAGGGCTAGCATGGGACGTGGCATCAGAGGGGGGCACAGCAGGCGTGTGTGTGGGCTGCATCTCTGGGCTCCTGCTGTCTTCTCCTGAGTGCACAGGTACACTGCCCAAGCGCGTCCTGTATCAGCTGCTCCTGCCTGGCATGTCCATGTGGCATGTGACCTTGACCCCCAGCGGTGGCTCTGTCCTCTCCTTCTGGACATCAGGGAATGGTAAACATCATGGAGTGGAGCCTTCCAACTTCTGAGGGAGGTCACCAGTGGCCATGAGTCCTGCTCTGGCCAGCCAGCCCTGGCCAGCACAGCTGCCAGCCAGTGAGAGCCCTCTGGGAGTGACCTTCCAGGCTCAGCCTTGGGAACAGGAGAGCCACTTGTGCAGGGCTGGGCAAGGGAGGCAGGCCCAGGCCCAGGGGTTCTTACTTCAGAGTGTGGCCTCCAGAATGGCAGGGGTGGGGGTCCTGTGGCCCTGAGCCAGTGCAGCTTCTGGTCCTTGGTCACAGTGGCCCTAGGAGACTGAGGCAGCCTGGTGACAGGGTATGGGGATTTGACTTAGCTCTTCCCTGGAGTCCTGCAGCCTCAGAGACCTTTGGGTTGTGAGTGTCCAACAGACTGAGATCATTTTGCAGAGGAGAACGTGGGCGGCCATGTCCTGCTTGAATTGGGTGTCAGTTCTCCAACTCTCCAGTGAGGCTTACCACGGGCCCAGCCTCCCCATCCACCTGGTCCCCGTCTGCCCGCCCTCTTGGAGTGGGAGGTGACTTATGCCCATGGCCCCACTGTGCTCTGGTGGCAGAGGGCTCAGCATGGGCACTGGGGCATCACGGGAGGAGGGGCCCACACCTGCTGACCCCGGATTCTGCCCTGCCCTGCTCTGCCCTCCAGCAGGGCTTTACTCCTGGCAGGAGGGTCTGCTGCTGGGACCCAGCCAAACCCAGGGGCCGCATCCTGAGGTCCTCACTGGCCAGAGGGTCTTCTACACGTGTTGGAGGCCCCCAACTGGACTTGCTCAGCAGCCTCCTCTGGGCCTCCACGCAGGTCTGCTTTGCCGTTAATCAAAGCTGGAAGCTGAAGTGGCTGGGCCTCCTGTCCAGAGCTCCAGGGAAGACAAAGGAGGGCAGCGCACGGAGCTGGTCACACCCATGCGCCCCCGTCAACTAGCACCAGCTCAGTGCTGGGGTGAGGGCCAGGTGGCAGGGTCCCTGGACCTGCCCTGGGTGGAGCTCTGTGCGCAGGGCTCTGGGAGGGCTGAGGATCATGCCCGGAAAGCCGACCATGGAGTGGGATCCAACTTCAGCACTGAGACACCCAGGCACATCGTCACATGCAGAGGGTCACCTGTGATGAGACCCTCAGGCTCTCTCTTGGGTCAGGGTCACCTGGGGCTATGATGAGCCCTGGATGGGTTCTGGCCAGGTGCAAATGGACCTGGGGCTGCAAGGCCAGGGCAGGTGCTCAGGCAGAAGTAAGCACCCTCAGTGTCCTGTGGTGTTGATGGGGACCCTGAAGCATAGAGGAGTCCCCAAGGCCTGCCTGACCCAAGCCTTGTCCTTAGTTTACCCATCTGTTGCCTTGGGGGGGGGCGGGGCTCTCGGGGTCCCCAAGCTGCTCCAGCCCCTGAGCTGGCCCCAGCAGCCACTGTGTGCTCAGCACCTGCCCCTGCCTGCAAAGGGCTCGCTGGGCCTACCTGGGAGGACATGCCGTGGCAGGGGTAGAGGATGGCCCGGTCATCGTCCTCCGCACCCTGGTCCAGGCAGTAGCCACTGGCCTTGCTGTTTCTCACCTGCCACCAAAAGCCACAGGAGGAACCCAGGGTCACCGAGGAGGATCTCCAGGCCAAGGTAAGGCTGCAGGAAGCCCCCCGCCCCCATCCTCAGGTGGGGCTGTCCCAGGACAGGCATGAGCCTGACACCATCTCCCCAGGTGTGAGACCCACCAGGGCCCAGGGCTGGCCTGAGGCCAGGTGAGGTAAAGAGAAAGGGAGCAGAGGGGCCACAGGCTGGCCATCTGTCAGGGGCACGTTGACTGTTCCTGACACAGTCCTACATGCTGGATGGAGACCTGGGCTGTGCCGCTGGCTTCCCATGTCCCTGTGCTGTGTGACCACAGTTCTTCCCCAGGAGGCAGAGGCTCAGCCAACAGAATGCAGCAGAAGTGAGCCCGTGTGGGTTTGGAGCCCATGAGCCGTGCGACCTGCTCTGCCTGTAAGCTGGGCGGGCAGTAGCAGCCAGCCAGCCTCCAGCCCGCAGAGCATGCCCAGCCAGGATGGGCTCCGCCCCCACCCAGCAGAACTGCCCATGGCCTGGACCCTGAGCACCCTCAGACACCTGGAGTTACGGGCCACTGCTCCCCAGAGTGGTGCAGGTTTTACCAGCAGAAGAAGCAGCCACAGGGGTGGGTGGTGAGGGGACTTGACAGTGGGAGGAAGTGGGCAGGACAGAGCACAGGAGAGGCCAGGAGAAGTGCTGCCTCCCCCCACCCCTTCAATACCCAGTGCCCCCCAGGGAGGCTCTGGGCCCGAGGGACTGGGTCAGATGTAGGGTGGGCCGGGAGCTCTGGGATGAGTAGACAGCTAGGACCCCCAGCCAGGGGGCTAGCCCAGGGCCAGGATGTGCTCGTTCTCTCTGCAAGGAAGAGCCGGGCTCTGGGGAAGCTGAGGAGCTGGGGAGAAGCTCTGCTGCCTAGTGCAGGGTGGGAGGCCACACACCATAGCACAGACCCGGGAGCGGCAGGACCACAGGGCGCCCCCTGGCTTTGGAGAGCCACGAGGGTCTGTGCACCAGCAACAGTGGGGCGGGGTCTTGATGCCGCTCAGGTGCCGCTCTCCGGGTGAGTCTGGGGCCATGGTACTGTGTGTGTGGACCAACAGGGCTGTGCTGTGTGGTGCATGCGTTCAGGTGACAGTCATGACATGGCACAGGTGCCTGGTGCACAGGGAGGTGCCCTGACAGGTTCACACACAGCTGAGGTGTGCGTGGTGCCCTGGAAGCTCTGTGTGTGCACACGTACACCTCCATGTGTGCACTGTACTCGTGTGTGTGCATGCTCAGCGTGCACCAACAGAGTTTATGCACATGCATGTACATAGCATGTGTCTGTGGGAGAGTGTAGGCATGCAGCACACAAGTGTGCACACACACTTGTGTGAATGCACGCTCACAAATGTGAATGCACTCATGCACACATGTTCATGTACGCAGATGCAAATGCATTTGACACACACACCGTTATGTACACACACAGGCATCTGAATACATGTGTGCATGTACATGTGTGTGCCCTGTGCACATGCATGTGAATGCAGGTGTCCCTACCTATGTGAATGTGTGTGCCATACATCTCTGTGTGTACCTGTGTACACGTTTCTTCACATGTGTGTATTTCTACAGGCAAGGATCGGTATGTGTTTTCATGTGGGCCAAGTGTGTGTGACGGTCCCTGTGTCCCTTAGTGTCTGGATGCCCCAGTATACAAGTGTGCAGGTGGGGGCATGGGTGTGGGCAGTGTGCTGGGGTACCGTGTCAGGTGTGGGGAGACAGGGCATGGAGGTGGGGTCGGGTGGGCCCTGCGGGGGAGGCGGTACCTCTCCGTACGTGAGGGTGTTGTTGTAGGTCCTCATCTCGGGATACACATTCTCCAGGTACCACTTGAAGCTGCGGCATTTCAGCCTCTGGCGCAGGGCCAGCCTCTCAGACACGTCCCCGAAGTCCACCCCTGGGTTCTGCGAGGCAGGAGCAGGTGGGGACATGTGAGTGCCAGGCCTCCTGAGACCCCCCAGGGCAGTCCTGATGCAGTCTCATCTGGAACTGGCCTCCTACCCTCCCGTAACCCACAGAAGGTCAGCCTGGCTGTCCGCACCCTGCATCCAAGGTCCAGCCCTGCCAGCTCCTGGGAGGGCTCTTGAGCCTGCTTCTGTTTGGTCCCCATCCTGATGGCCTGGCCTTGGGTTGCCTAGATGGCTGAGATGTCCTGAGATGGAAGGCAGGGCTTTGGCCATGCAGTGTGAGCCTAACCTCTGGAGGGCTGTACACAGGCCAGCCTCAGGGAGGTCACCATATCCAGGTGGCTGAGCCCTGGTCAACACAGCTGCCCCTGGCTGGTTCCAAGCTGCCCTGTGCTATAGAGCTGGGGCCAGTTGCTCTGCCCAGCTTGGGCATCCTCCTATTGCCAAGGACCTGGGGTGCCATGGGGCCCATGCTCTGTGCAGGGAGTGGCCCTCAAAGGTGGGGTGGGCTTGGGGGAGCTCTGCCTCCAGGGCCCCATCTGGGCCAGCAGGTCGGGGCAAGGGTAGACTCAGCCAGGATGCTGGAGCCAAGTCTGTCATTTTGTGGGTGGTCTTAGGACAGTCCTTGCCCTCCTGGGGCCACAGTCCTCGCACCCTTGTAAGCCAAGGGTGAACCCAAGACACATTCCACCCTCGTAGGACTGAGCCGCCTCCTGTGGAGGGGCTGGAGCCCGGAGGCCAGCCCCCTGCTCTGCCTACGTCCTGCCCTTCCAGTGGCCACACTGGACTTTCTGCATCAGTTTGCAACAGACCACTGGCCTCATGGTTGGCAGGAGCCCTCCTTGTCTCTAGTATTGAGGGCCGTTCTGATGGCTTCCTGGTCTGTGGGGCTGGAAACGGCTGTGGGCAGTGCTGACCGGGCAGTACTGAATCGGGTGGCTTCGGCAGGCCTGTGACCCCACATGGCCACCAGCTCCCAGTAACACAGCAGAACAGCGCTCTGGGAGGGTTCCCTGGGGGCTGTCGGGGGCGGATGCTTCCTGGCAGGCAGAGGGCTGGGCCAGGTGGTGTGGACAGGCAGGCAGGGCTCTGGTGGACAGCATCTACTCAGTGTTTTTGAGAGGGGCCGCCTGGCCAGTGTGGCTGTCATTGCAGCACTGGGGAGGCTGAGGCAGAGGACCCCTCCTGCCCTCCTGACCCCTGGCCCTGGGACCACTCTCTACCTAGACTATCTACCAGGGCCAGTGAGGACGAGGCCCTTTGCCAAAGTCCCCTCCCTGCCCAGGGTGGCCGCAGGATGCCCACGACCCCCACTGGCCCTACTCTGACGGGGCCCTGAGGAGTCCCATGAGGCCCGCTACCCCCCACCCGGGCTCACGGTCATGGGGATGTTCCAGGCCATGTACACGTGGGACTTGAACTCATCCATCCACACCTCCGCGGCCCGCAGAGCATTGCGCTTGGCGTAGTAGTCGATGTCGTTGTTGTAGGGCTTCTTGGTGCGCTCGATGTGGGCCACGCGGGAGCAGGGCAGCACCTCCATGCTGCCGCCACACTGCCACACCTGGGCGGGGACCCCATCCCCAGTCCCCTGTCACCACAGGGCACACCACGGAGGCACCTGCACTGAGCCCCGGGTCCCCAGGGGCTTGGCCATAACTGGTTTCAGGGGAAGGTGCCCAAGGGACAGCCACGGGCAGTGGTCCACCCACACAGGCCTGGGTGAGGCTGCACCCCTCAGGCGTCCCACCCAATCTGACTTCTCTGCGTAGTCTCCAATTGCCTTTTTGTATTCCATTCACCCCAACATTACTGTCCCTTTTTCTGGTAGCCTCTCCCACTCCATTATGTGCCCTGTGCAGGGGACCCCCATAGCACCTCTGCCTGCCCACCCCAGGCAGCAAGAATGACCCTGTGAGCCTCTTAGAAAGAGCCACCAGCTGTGCAGATGCAGGCACTGGCACCCAGATCAGCACTGACCAGGTCAGCACTGCCCCAGGTCGGAATCGTCCGCACCCTTGCTTCCTCTGCCTAGAGACACCTGTGGTCTCACGCCCAGGGTGGAATGCCCTCTGCCTTGTTATTCCCTCATACGGGCTCACTCTGGGCCGCAACCTTCAACCGTCCTTGTCCCCCTGAGGCTCCACGTGAGTCCTTTCCATGCTGTTCATGCTGTGCCAGCCAGCTGGTGTCACCTGCACTGGGCCCCAGGTGCTGAGGTGCCTGATTGAGCTCTCTGGGGGCTTCTGCTGAGAGCAGCATGTCACTCTATAGCCTGGGCCTGGGGATCCCCAGGAAGACACAAAGGTTGAGGGGCGGCAGTCGCTGTTGGCTTGTGTCCTGAGGACTGGACTGTGCTGTCCCCTCCCTTCAGATTGGACTCAGACTGGGCTCACTCCACCAGCCCTCCAGGGGCTTCCATCTGCCAGCTGCTGGGCTGGGGACTCCTGAGCGTCCACACTGTGGGCTAATCCCTGTGACACCCACGTCCTGGTTCATCTCTGTCTGCATTGGTGTCCCCTTCCTCTGATTCTGCAGAGATCGAGACCCGGTCCTGACACACGGCCCCCACATCTCTGCCCCACGGTGTGTGTCCTGAGCTGCTCTCTGCCACTCATCCACCATGACATGCTGCCTCACCCCAGGGCCTGAGCTATGGAGTTGGCCATCCAGGGACTGAACCTCTGGAACTGTGAGCCCCAAATAAACTTCTCGTCTGTGTCACTCTTGTGGGATCTCTTGGTCATAGTGATGAAAAAGCTTCCTAGAACTCACAGAGTGAACTGGGATCTGGCCCAGGACTCACAGTCTCAGACCCTCTCTATATCTGAGTCTCAAATGTCCACCTTTCCCCCCAATACTGGGACCTAACCTAGAGCCTCACACAGGCCAGGCGAGTGCTTTACCACTAGCCACATCCCCAGCCCCCACCCTGTTCTCTGGTATTGGGGACAGAACTCAGGGGCTCCACTGCTGACCCCTGGCACTTTTATTTATTTATTTATTTTTTGAGGCCAGATCTGGCTACGTTGCCCAGGCTGGCCCAGAACCTGTGATCCTCCTGCCTCGGCCTCCTGGACCTCTGGGATCACAGGTGTGGCCCATGCCTGGTGGTCTGTCATTTTTTGTGACATCTGTCATTGGATTTGACCCACCTCAGACTTGGAGGGCCTCAAGAGCCTTCCCTGGTCACCTCTGCAAAGACCTCAAAGGTCACAGCACAGGCTCCTGTGTGTATCTTTTTGGGGCCTCCAGCCAACCCAAGGAATCTCATCCCAGCAGAGCCAGCACCGAGGGCAGATGAGGACCCCAGGTGACAACAGAGAAAGGCCTTGAGACACTGCCTAGCAGGTGGAGGGCGGGAGGCGGAGCATGCTCAGCCAGAGGACCCTGAAGTCAAGAGGCAGCTGACCAGAAACAGCTGGATCAGAAAGACAGTCGCCCTGTGTGGCTGGAGCCAGGGCTGCAGCTCCCAGGCTCCAGGGGACATGAGGCCCAAGGAGCCACAGCCGCGCCTGAGCACCCAGCCAACGTTCAACAGGGCCACATGGAGCGTCCCACCGCCCACAGGACAGCATCTTCATCAAGATGCATTCCTCCGGTGCGAGAGCAGGTGCCCAGGGAACCTGCCCGCGGAGGACACCCGCTGCGTGTTCAGACCCGAGGACCCCCACAGCACTGGCTCCTTGGATGCCTGCAGATCAGTCCCATGCGTGACAGGTGGGAAAACTGAGGCAGGGAAGGCGTGGATTGCAGGCTGACCAGTGGAGGCAGGCTCCAGATGCAGGTCTGGGGTCTTTGAAGGTCCAGGGTCTGCAGTGGACTTCTGAGCAGAGCTGGCTGGCGGGGCTGCATCCTCCCCCATCAGGACCTGCATTACCTCAGGCACCAACCCTGGGCCTTTTGAAGTGGCTCTCAGAGCAGACACAGGCCCAGCACCCCCATCCTCTCCCTTCAGCCTGGACCCAGGCAGAGAGAAACCCCCTTCTGAGAAACCCCTAGTGGAGGACACCACTGTATCTCGGGGAGGCTGGCCTTGCTGCCAGGACCTCACATACCTCCCCTCTTGGGAGAGTGGGAAAAACTGCCCCAAGGCTAATAAAGCCCTCCACCCCCAGGGGCATCTTGGGGCCAGCAGTGACCCTTAGGGTGGGGGATGGTTCGTCCATCACCCCAAGCAGACCCCAACCTTCACAGCAGAAAAGAAGGCGAGTCAAACTCTGCTCGGTGGACCACCACCCGGGCTGGGCTCAGCACTGGATTTTGTCTTGACCTTTATTAAACCTAATGGACAGGGTGGAGCCACTTCCCCTAATTGGCTCAAGGACTTTCCTCATTAGAGGACTCAGCTGGCCTTCCTGCAGCCACAGAGATGTAAATTGGCCCTGAGACCACAGAATCACTCTAATTAGGCTAAATGGATCTGAAAGGCTGCACGGGCTGGGAGCAGAGGCCAGTGGGGGGGGGGGCAGGGCGCAGCCTGGAGGGTCCAGCAGGCACAAGGGGCTGGGGGCCTCAGCACGTGCTGTTCCCTGGCCGGAGCCTGGGTCTTGGCCAGTCTGCCCTCAGCCTTGGCCACACGTCACCACCCTGGGGGGATCACTGCGGCCTCCATGTGAGCCCATCACGGGAGCATGGCCGGGGCTTTCCCTCTGCTGTCCTCTCTGGACCTGACACCCACATGCCCAGCACACAGAGGCCAAGGGACTCAGGAAGGATGCAAGCTCCTCCCAGCCTCCCTCCCTGAGCTTGGACCTCACACTCAGCATCTCGAGCTCTGCAGGGAGCCCCTCTCAGAGGATCCTTCATTCATGAATTGTACTGGGCACCATGGCAGGCCCCAGGGACACGTGGCAAGGAGGGGACACAGACTGTGAAAACAGGAAACTCGTGAGGCTTTGATGGCAGAGGAGCATGTGGGGACGCAGTGGGGACGCAGTGGGGCCGTGGTGCAGTGCTGGGCAGGGCAGGGTCCAGGGCGAGATCCAGTCAGGCCCAGAGGGCACCTGAACCCAAAGGGAGGGAGGTTGACTGAGAGCCCGCATGGGTTGCCACCATCCCCACTTACTCTGGTGGCCTTTCAGCTGCCTCTGCAGGTGGCTGTCCAGGAGTTGCCTGGTGCCCAGGGGACCGAGCCCACTGCCCCCACCCAAACTGCCAATTCCAGGGCGTTTCCCAGGGCTACCAGCCCCACAGGCACAAACAAGCCCCACCAGGCAAACTGCAGGCCCGCCCTGGGATGTGGTGCCAGGCAGAGTGCCCACTTCTGAGAGGCCTGGGGAGGTGGCCCACGACCCCCAGAGCCCAGCTTCTGAGGGGCCTGGGGAGGTGGCCCACGACCCCCAGAGCCCGGCTTCTGAGGGGCCTGGGGAGGTGGCCCACAACCCCCAGAGCCCCTGGCTTCTGTGGCACATCCGACAGGGCAGAGGACATGGAGCAGAGCCCTGCACAGGAAGAGGAGCCAGGACAGGGACCTGATGCTGCGGTGGCTGGGGTGACCTTGAGCGAGGCCTGTAGGATTGAGCAGCAGACACCCTGCAAGCTGGAGGGACCCAGCAGAACCACGTGGAATTGATTGGGGGCTCAGCCACCTGCTCTCCTGGAAGACTCTCCCTGGGAGCCAGCAGAGCCAGGTATCCACTGCCTCTGCCAGGCATGAAGAGTGCATGCTGCCATCCTGGCCCTGTGCCCAGTCCAGCCCCACCTTGCAGAGCCGAAGAACCCCGGCCGGGCCCGCCAGGCTGCTGCCCCTCAGGCATGGGGTGCACCGTCTCAGCAGCTGGTCTCTGGAGTCACAGAGCTAGAAAGGCCAGGAGGTGGGCAGGAAGGGAGTGGGCAGTGTTTGTCCAGAGCCCCACAATCCCATGCATCCCACGTCCTGCTGCTGCCTTGCCTGATGTTGGAGGGACGCGGTTTCTACAAGTTGCCCCAAAACCAACAGCAAGAGGCAAATCAGGACTGGCACCCTCCAGAGGGAAAAGAGAGAGCTGTCAGGCCACCATGGACAGGGACAAATTGGGTCCCATTCCCACACTTCCTCTGGGGCCGCCACAGCAGGTGGGGGCTGGAGAGACGCAGCCCTGTCCCCTACTGCAGCCACCACCAGGGTCACCAGGCCAGACTGCCCACTGCCCCTCAGGACAGAGCCAAGAGTGCTCAGCTCAAGTATGACAGGCCTTTGATCTGAGTGAAGGTCAGCCTCTCCCCAGACTGATTTCAGCCCCAGGGTCATGGCCAGATTTGTGTATAAAGTAGCCGTGACAGTCCCCACAGCCAGGGCAGCCGGGCAGCCATTCTCAGACCCAGTGTGCAGAGCAGAGACAACCTGGAAGGTCAGGGAGGATCAGGTCAAGGACACAGCTGCACTGTCAGCAGATGTGCAGAGAGCTGCGGTCCTCAGGAAATTTATAGAACAACTGTACAGCAGGACCCGACGGGAGCGTCTTAAATCAGCTGTTTAATATTAAGCAACATGCTATGGAGAACAGGCACACCCAGGGAGCTCATGGAGATAAATCCCAGCCCTGTTAGAAGACTATGTGCTCCGAGGCACTGGGTTCGATCCTCAACACAGCACAAATGTAAAATAAAAGACATTGTGTCCACCTAGAACTAAAAAATAAATATATAAAAAAAGAAGACGACTGCATGCTAAGGGAGCAGAGGGTCTGGGGACCCACCCCAATGCAGGATCCCCTCACTATGGGACCCACCCCAATGCAGGATCCCCACACTGTAGTATCCGCCCCACTGCAAGATCCCCTCACTATAGGATCTACACCACTGCAAGATCCCCTCACTATAGGACCCACCCAACTGAAGGACCCTCTCACTATAGGACCCACCCCACTATAGATTCTCCTCACTATAGGATCCACCCCACTGCAGGATCCCCTCACTATAGGACCCACACCACTGCAGGATCCCCTCACTATAGGACCCACACCACTGCAGGATCCCCTCATATAAGACGCACCCCACTTCAGGATCCTCTCACTATAGGACCCACCCCACAGCAGGTTCCCCTCACTATAGGAACCACCCACTGCAGGATCCCCTCACTATAGGAACCACCCACTGCAGGATCCCCTCACTATA